TATCGGAATGCACATTGCTGGTTGAGATCTACTTGGACTGCATTGTCCATTCAGTCCTTTTTATCACATTGCGGATCCTCGGTTTCTATGTACATTGCCCAACTGGGCATGTAACAGTACTGTATAGTCATATTGGAAACAGGGAGCAAAGGTTATAGAGTCAGCTAGGAGATATGGAGTCGGCTAATCAAAGGTATGAGGGACAAGACTGTTGTAGTGTGCTGATCAAGGCAGATCAAACAGGACAAGAGAGCTAGGATGAGAGTACGATAAACGCGGACAAAGGTGGAAAGTGCTGACTGAGAGACAAATGGATCGTGATTGGTGGCTTTAGGAACTGCAGGGGAGACCCCTCCCCGCGCCCCGCCTCCCGGAGATCCATCCTGCGGTGTGTATGGGTGCTGCTAGCAAGCCACCCGGCCAGCAGGGTGGCCCTCGGAGAAAGGCCATGGTTTGGGGGGGTGGGGCCCCTTTTTTGCAGCTCCCTCCTTGCCAGGTGACTAGCACTGCAAGGGTCTAGACCACTCCTCTTCCCTGGTCTGATCTCCCCTTTTTCTGTGGATGTACAGTCATGCTTGCCGGTGATAAAGCAACCGGACTGATATCCCCCAGAATAGAAGGGGCCATGCTTTTGAAATGAACCTCGCAATTCCAACCATAAGAGCATTCATGTGGAAGTCCACACCACACCGGAGCGATAAGACATGAATCAGCGCCAGATATGTTTCCACTCAAGAATTATGATAATATTCAATTGGAGAGGTTAAGTGTCCAGCGGTGACTGCCGCGACTCAACACTGCAATCTCGAGTCAGATACGTGCCCAACTCCCCCCCCCCCCTCTCTCTCTCTCGTTGTCTGGCCTCTCTTTCTCTCCCTAAAGTCTTCGGTCTCTCTTGCTCACTGTGCTCAGCTCTCGCTCTCTTGCCCTAGGATCTACCCTGAATACAACTGCGATGCTTCCGCAAGTTTGCAAATGAACAACTGCCTTGGCTTGGCACTGTAGGAGCTAAATATAGTTGCAGTTGACTGTTCATGCCTGCTTCAGACCGGTACCGGTCGCCCACAGCCTCTGCCTTGCCAAAATTGGTGTTTCTGGAAGTCTCGGGACTTTCTTGGGACACTGCTGCGAATTTGGACTTGGGATTTGACTTCTTGTGCAGGTACCAGTGGACTTTTAACGGACTGCGACGTTTCGGTACCCGACTTGTACCGACCTATGACGCTTCAACCTACGGACCCTAAGACCTACCCTACGGGGACAGCCTGGGACCGGTACCAACTGGGACCTTGGTACCGAACTGGGGGTCTGACTGTGTGAAATCCTTTCACTCCCGCCAGCCTAATTTCGAGGTCCTCCGAGAAAGATCTATTCTGTACCTGTCTATAATGTTAAAGTCCGTCCTGGCACGATGATAATAGGACACAATATGAGGTGCAGTTTCTACTAACTCATCCCTAACCAACGGTCATCCTCTGGCTCCTGATACGCGAACCTAACCTTGTACTGCTGCTGCGGTCTACCCCTTCTTCGTGTTTTGTAGACATCTTTCTCTAGAATACGATCTATGTCATATCTTCCATCCATGTCAGAGGAATCATTGATTTGCGTGAAGGGAAATGATCATTAGTGACATAGGGCAACAGCTTGGATGCGTGAAACACTAACACTGGGTACGTGTGTTAGTGTAGGGGAATGTCAATAGTTTAGGAGGGACCGTCTGTGTCTCCTATGACGTCTAAGATCTCTCACGGTCCTCTATATGCAGGTCGTAACTTCTGAGAAATGTTCTCTTCCGGAAGAAATTCCTTGGACTTGACCCAGACAAGATCATCAACAGCAAACTTCGATGGTCTACGGTGCTTGTTAGCTTGCTCTACCATCTGGTGCCGACTTTCCAAACCTCCTCCTTGTAGTGGACAGCAAACTCTCTACCGTCTTCACCGGAATAGAACACCCGGTAATTATCGCCGTACTCTCTACCATCTTCACCCGAATAGAACGCCCGGTAAGTATCGCCGTATCTGGACTGAAAGTTGTACCAAATACAGCTATAATGACCGGGTGTTCTATTTGGGTGAAGACAGTAGTGCCAGGTGGCAATCTCTGAATGTGGTTTGGGTTCAGACAATCTATCGGTCGTCGTGGTTGCCACCCCTTGTGCAACTCGTTAGGTGTCCTGTTCGTTGCCAAGTGCACAAAACTATTTTCGGCACTAGCTACTTTAGGTAGAAGGTCATCCCAGTCTACCTGATCTGGCCTAATGTACATGCGAAGCACTTGCTGTAGCAATTTGTTCATCTTCTCTGTCTGTCAGTTAGTCTCATGATGCCTGCTTGAAGACATGGTTATTCTTGACCTGTAGACTTTCATTACTTGTTGCCAGTGCTCGCCGGTGAACCTAGTTTCTCTATCACTTACTATAGTCAGGGGCTGCCCGTACCCTGCAACCCCGTGATCGAAGAACTTACGGATCACTAAATCTGTCTTTGCCTCAGCGGGGAGCGGAACAAAAACA